ATGGAAGTTAAGATACGTTGGGTTAAAAGATCGGATAATTCCCTAGCTGACGGTTTAGCTAAACAAGGGGAAGAAAGGGATTCACTTTTTTGGGCTAAGCTGTAACTATAGTGTGTTTTCTTTCTTTTTTTCCTTTTCTTGAGGTTCTTTGTTGCTCTTGGAAGATAAGCGTGTTTGTCTTCCTTTGTAAATCTTCTATTGATGAGTTAATGAAAGTGTTATTGATCAAAAAAAAAAAACAAAGAAAACTCCCGCTTATCCCCAAAACAGTTCTGCCTTGAGATAGAAAGATAGGCATATTAGTTCTTAAAGAATTAGCAGCCAACTGCCATGTTCAGGCCTCTACTAAGTAGTTCATCTCTGTTTAGGAACTTTCCCAGCACATCCATCCAGATCATGAATGTTGGAATAAGCTGGTCTGTCCCAAACCACTCTATGAACAGTACCCTGCATCAGGGAACTAGTTGCTTGGCCAAAGACCAAACAGAAAAATGCCCATCCTTCTCCTTCCAACTTCTGCAATCATTTGAGCAAAGGTCTTGGATCTGCTCCTACAGCTTAAGAAGCTTGGCTGCTTCCACAGATTAACCCTCCCATACTTATTCTAGTTAATCCTATTTCCTCTCTATTTTCAGACCAAAACTTTAAGGGACTTAAGTTTGTTTATATATCATTCCTTTGGTCATCAGAACCAGAATGAAATATAGAAGATTTTCAGAAATTCTGACAAAATATTAATTTTTTATCGTAAAATAGTTCGCATCGTTTCATGTTTATCTTTATATTATATATGATCAATAATTTCCTGCAGTCTGCCAAAATGCAAATAGGTATTTTAGATTTTTATTTTTTTGATCAATAACTCTGAAAAGATTTCATTAATTAGAAAACTTTAGGATACAACAAGAAGTTGTGAAAGAAACCAGCTTTAGTAAGCTGACCCAGAACAGATTACAAGTGTGCCCAAACTGTTGGCAGATCTCCTAACCCATCCCACCTGGATTGACATGTTCCTTGACATTTAATATCTCACAAAACCCTATATATAACTTTGCATATCCTATAAATAAGGCGGTCCAACAAAGAAGACATCCTTTCCTCATTCAATGAGAGTAGACATTACTGTTATTGATAAAAAAAATGAGAATAGACATTACTACAGACTTTTCAGCGGATTCAGATCAGAGTGGTACATTGGCTGAAGTCTTTGACTCTTTTTAAAGACTTTTCAGCGGATGATTTGTTCAGAAATTGGAAGGAAATTGCAAGATCAGCTCCGGTTAAGGACACATCCCTACCCTCTTGGACTCCTCCTCCTAGTGGTTTTATCAAACTTAATTTTGACAGAAGTAGCATGGGTAATCCGGGTCCATCAGGTATTGGGGGTGTCTTAGGAGATGAGGAGTGAGTGATAATTGCTCTCTTTTCGGGGCCAATTGGAATGGGTGATTCTCTTAGAGCTGAGATTTCAGCTGTTATAGAAGGAACTCAAAGGGCAATTGAACTGAACATCACCAAATTGGTCATAGAAGGCGATTCTAAACTGGTAGTGGATTGGCTGAGAAATGATACTGCTATTTTTTGGAACTACAGCAATGAGAAGAGAAAATTTAATTGGTTAACCAAGAATATTGAGGTGAAGATGATTTGGGCAAAAAGAAGTGCTAACTCCTTTGCTGATGGGTTAGCAAAACAAGAGGCATCTAGGGACTCTTTGTTCTGGGCTATCTTATAATTTTTCTCTTGTCTTGTTGTTTTGATTAGGTGAGATAAGAGAGCTTATCTCCCTTTTCTTGTACCTGTGTTTTTTTTTTCTCTCTAATTTTAATGAAATCTGTGAGTTATTGATAAAAAATAAAAGAATAGACATTACTACAGATGTCACAATGAAACAAGGCATGCATGTGTTTCTCTTTTCAGTAAAAAAAAAATTACAGGCAGCAATTTTCACCATAATAGGGCATCAAAAGATTGCACCAATGCTGATCCAATCCAAAGAGTTCAAAACCATGCCTTGGATAGGAATCTAGAAATAACCAGCTCTGAGATCCTTGTCCACGTCAGTCTTCCAAAACATCGCATCCATTGGCCATTTTCAAAGCATATGAATTTGGAAATGAACTTTATAACCTGAAGAATCTCTGAATAAATTGCTGCACCATCCATGCATTCAACCTGGATGTAATATCAAATAAATTTGAGAATAGACTTTATAACCTGAATAACCCCCAAACAAATAGTTGCAAAATCCATGCATTTTAACAGGATTATAGCCAAATAACACATGGATTCTACAAGAGCTAATCCAAGCAATCATAAAAGCATGTAACACCATTGCAATTCGATGACCATAACAGTACCTTCACTGTTTTAAATTTTAAAACTATTTGCATACATTAAAAGTTAAAGCAATAAATTTTCAAATAAATAATGTTGTAACTACATTGCAAAATTATGAGAAGAATTCTATAAACGGTGAAATAAAGAGGAAACCCCTTCCGTATAAGAAGTCTGATAGCAGGGTACAGTAACAAAATCATGCATAGAACAGCTTGAAGCTGACCAGAAACAAGATGAAAAAGATTATGTTCAATGCTCAAGATTTTCCCTTAAGTGTATATGTCCTCCTAGTTCCTATTCTGGAAAGTGTATCAACTAGGTAATTAGCAGATCCGGAATCTACCTGCACAAACAGTTGATAAACTATCTAAAGCCCTAGTCTCATAGTCTGTAAATACAGATCTTCGAGGTTGCATCATGATTGGGTGCCTAGCCAAAAAAAATGAGCCTACACTTTGAGGACATGAATAACTCTAGAAATCTTGAGAAGAACATTCAGACTGGTGAACAGACTTCTACTTATCCTATGTGTTAAAAATAAGCTTTCTATGGGCCTTTCAAAAATTTAAAAAAAAAAAAAGCATTTCAATTAAAAGTTTCAACTGAACAGAAATTTATCCATGTAAGAGAGATAGGTGGGCACGTCTAGGGAGCTTCCTTAATTCACAACTCACGTCTAGGGTGGTGGCTTTATAGTCAGGACCCTAGGCACATGGTGATGCACTGACAGCAGAACTGGTCAGCTTACTGCAAGGGTTAAGGTTTACTAAACAAGTGGGTGTCCACAATCTAGAGGTGGAAGGAGACTTAAGTAGTCATCTCTTAAGCAAGATGCAGTACCCAGATTTCTTGGGTCTTCCAGCACAAATTTAGGGAGATTGAAAGTCTGATAAGGGAGCTACATGTCTCTTTCAAATGGGTGAGGAGAACAGCAAATGGAATGGCAGACTCTTTAGCCAAACAAGGGGCCGTAAGACGGCAAATATTTTGGGAAAATCTGTAATCTTTTGTTGTTTGGGGTGAAATTTACACCCACCCTCTTGTAATTTCTAAGTTTGCATCAATAAAATTATTTCCTACTGATAAAAAAACTACTACTAATATATAATTTACATAATTTTGCAATTTCATCAGATTCATCCAAATGCATTTCTCTTATATTGTGCACTCATAGAACAATTGAATTACTTTCAAAGCAAATAATGATCTGTACAGATATTTGACAACTTAGTTTCCTTAAGTCACCCCGTTAGATACCACATATCAGTGCTAGAGGTTGACACAAACATTGCTGTGTTTTTCAACATAGAAGACAATTAGAGATTAATACCCAAAAAAAAAATATCAGTCTTTAGGGTATTAGAGGCATAAATTAAATTGAAACATGGTAATTATCATCTATGATCCAACATGGGTTCATATCCAATCAAATAATTGCATTCAGATGAGTAAATTTGCCCTTTACTTTAAACACTGTTGGTGATTATTGTAAGATGTTAGAGTAGGCACAATCCACAAAATGGTAAAGGAGCACAATTCATGTAAAGCATAATAAGAAGATAGTTTAATTACATCAAGTGCAAAGACTTTTACATGCTCTGACAAGTCTCTGACTTGCAAAGAGGCCTTCAAATGTGTGGCCTTTTTTGGTATGTTGGTTTGATAATTCATAACAAGGGAGAGATTGACTTAATTAGAAATTGGAGTGCTATAGCTGTATCCTCACCCTCCTCCCCTGTGGTACAAGAAAGTTGGGTACCACCACCTAATTCCAGGGTGAAGTTAAACTTTGATGGAAGCTCCTTGGATAATCCAGGTCAGTCGGGAGTTGGGGGTGTGTTCAGAAATGAGGAAGGAAAAGTCTTGGCCCTTTACTCGGGCCCAATTGAGATGGGATATTCCTTAAGGGCAGAAGTAATGGCCTTACTTCAAGGTTTGAGACTGGCGAAACAATGGGGAATGCAGCAATTAGAAGTGGAAAGACTCCAAGCTGGTAATAGGGTGGATGCAATCTGGAAACATGGGAATTTGATCTCTTAGACAGCCTCTAAGAGAGATTATTAGCTTAGCAAGGGAGATTGGGGTGCATTTTAAATGGTAAAGGTCAGCAAATGGAATAGCTGACACTTTAGCTAAGCAAGGATCTACTAGAGAGATTTTGTTTTGGGTTTGTTTGTAAGATTTTGTTTTGATATTCCATCCATTTTGTGGGTGGTAAATCTGTTAACTTTTTCAAATCATCAATGAAAGTTACCGTTTCCTATCCAAAAAAAAAAAACAAGGGAGAGATTGAGGAGGATGTTCCCCATAGAATTTGAGCAAGATGAGCAAAATGGAGGGATGCACCCACAATTTTATGTGATGGGCGAATACCACTTAGATTAAAAAGAAAACTCTATAAAATAATTGTAAGGCCAGCTATGCTGTATGGAGCAAAGTGTTGGGCATGTTGGGCAATCAAGAAACAACATGTCCAGAAAAATGAGTGTGGCAGAAACGCGTATGTTGAGATGGATGAATGGAAAACCTAGAAAGGACAGAGCCTAAAATCAAGTCATTAGCTGAATCCTCTAATCACATTTTTATTCACTGCAACTTCTCTCAGTAGCTTTGGGAAATGGCTCTCTGCAGATTTGGTGTTTCTTCTTGCCCACCTGCCTCAGTCCTACAGCTGCTTCAGGGGTGGACCCTTGAGGGTCAGAATGTTAGAGGCAAGCTGCTTTGAAAGATTTTTCCAGCTGCTATCCTTTGGGCCCTTTGGAAGGAAAGGAATAGCCAGATTTTTGACAATCTTTCCAATGACATAGTTTCGGTTAAGAACAAAGTTATAGGTTTTCTACATTCCTGGTTAAGTGTACAAAGAGCTTTCATTGGAGTTCAGCTTTTTCCTTTTTTGCAAGCTGGACCTTTCTTTAGCTGATTTCTCAGATCTTTTTGTAAATTCACAATGTACAGGTTCTCATTATACCTGGGCTGATGAATTGGTTTCCTTTTGCAATACAATACTTTACCTTATTAAAAAAAATGAAGTCATTAGAAGGAACCTAGGAGTAACTCCAATGGGTGATAAAATGAAATAAAGTAGAAAGGGGCTGTTTAATAACAGCTGAAAGTGCTAAACTGAAAGACTCATTACTTTGTCTTTTGGTTGTTAAAATAATTAAATAATAGAATCTTCAAGGATATAGTGATTTACCCAACTTCAGTTTCAAAAATTAAGAAGCCTACAACCTCCTTAAAATCTTATTCACTAAAAGACAATGTGATACGCATTTCAGTTAAGCATTTTCAGCTGTAATCAAACAGACCCTAAGATGGTTTCGTCATGTGCATTGCATACCTTTGGCAGAACCCATAAGAAGGAGTGGTCTATTGAAAGTTGAAGGGACTAGAAGGGGTAGGGGCAGACCGATATTGTTAATAATTTAACAATGAATATCACATTAAACAGAATGGAATAACAAAACAGGATTCATGCAGCTGACCCTATATAGTTGGGGTAAGATTTGGATGACTTCATTCCCAAATTAATGAAGCAGAAACACGATAAGAGACTGAGTTAAAACTAAAGAAATGAGAGAAATAGAAACATGAAAGGTAGAGATGTCAGATGTTTCTATATTAAAACAAGCATGAAAGCTCAGAAAAGCATGGTTATAGCTTTTTTTATTTGGTTGGTAGCAAACAGAAATTTTATCAAGTGTGACAAAAGAATGATATACAGTATTTGGTTTCATGCCTAGCATCCACAACCCATCTCACTTATTCCATTCACATGATGTATATTCAAGCCTCTCCCTTGGGAGGCAATCCAATACAAAATAGTTGTGCTTACCCCTTGCCTTGCCAGAGCATCACCCATACTATTAGCTGAACTATATGTCCAGTTGTCCCTAGAAAAAAATTCTGCTTCCCTCATAATATATCTCAATATCTGTACTTACAAAGATCCTGTGGTCTTGTATTTGAACAATCCCACTACCACCATCTGTGAGCTTTAATGGTTTATCCAATCAAGGGCCTTCTAGAACTTCTAGCAATTCAAGCCCTATAGAGTAAGCATAGTTGTAGATTTGTTGAACTCATTGTAATTAATTACCATTATCTGATAGTTGTAGCTTCAGTATGCCCCACTGTTATCAGAATGTAGTGATACCATTGGTTTGCATGTCTTTATATGTGGTTGGTTAGTGCAACTTTTCCATTACAAATCCTGCCATCAATATTTTCTACTAGCAACATACCATCAATATTTCATAGAAGAGACAAATTTGACAAAGAATTAAAGCTTGGTTAATCTGCTGGAGTCAAACACCAAATTTACCCGAGAATTGGAAGATGGAACAAGTTTGAGAATCGCCTCAGTCATCTGCCCAGAGTCCTGATCTGATTCTTCCACAGAAACAGCAGGACATCCATTGCTTACTATTGGAGCTATGGTATATTTAACCATCAAGTCTGCTACCCTTGCAAACCCATAATCAAGCATGTCAACCACCTGTCGATGGGAGACAATGAATATCAAACAATGCAGATCATACAAATCTTAGCTCAACAAAACAATCAGCGAAGGCCATAACTAAATAGTATTTTTAGTACCCTATGAACCAATACCGGGATTACTATAGTTACAGTAAAATAAGGTATTCCCAGTTTATATCATTTTAAGCTAATAGAATTTGCAGAATGTGATAGATCTTATACACCATAAAGTTTGGAGAAGAAGAAACACATGCGTAGAATAAAACTCACATCCATTGAAGTCAAAACCGTACGGAGATCAACAGCATTAGTCCCAACTGTAGTTAACTGAAGTTTCACTCTCACTATGCCACTTTCTGGCTCAAAACTTATTATATCCTCCAAAAGCCCCAGAAGCACTTCTCGCACCTACAAATTCAAATTGAAATTGAACAAATAGAATAAATGAACAGGAACAAATTGCATATTCATTTAAGAACCTAAAATTGAGTAAATAAACTTAACATCAAGCATACCTCATCAAAGCAGTCCATCCACTCTTTCCTCAACAAACCAAAAACCACTGGCTCCCTCTTCTCAACCACCTCATCGTGAATCGGCAATGCTTTCTTCAAATCCCTAACCGCACCCGCTGCATCCATCAACCGCCCGTCCTTCAAATCCTCCCTCACGGATGTTAATCTCCTTACTAAATTTACCACAGTCTGGATTATAGCCAAGAACTCTTTCTTCTCCTTCAGCTCTTTCCTTTTACTATTAATCTCATCTACTATGTCTCTGATCTCCATATCAATCGGATGATCAGAGATGAGCCGGATAACATTGGAGACATCTTCGGAGATATCTCCAGTCCTCGCAACAGCTTCAGAGCAAGAGGTAAAGATCACAGAGAGGTCTTTGTGGTGGGAAATAATGTAATCACGAACCTTCTCTTTTATTTGGAGGGATCGAACTTGCAGTCGATCGATGAGAAGGCGGAGATCTGGAGCTGATAGGGGAGATGATTCGTCGAACTCCTGCACCGAGAGAAGCTCTCGTACATCGATGGATCCGAATAGCACGTCCATTGACGCCTTTGAAGTTCACTTTCTGCCTGTAATTCAATGGATAGAACAGGAAAAATTAAAGCTTTGGACATACTGAGTTGACGGAGGCATATCAGCAGCATTGGAGAAGAGAGGAAGTGAAGAGAAGACCTGCTGTTTTTTAGGTGTTTAACTGGATGGAAGGGATACCTAACGTGCACGGGATGCGCTCGATCCATTCTCTTTAAGAGAAGTGGTGGAGGCCCAAAACCAAAGGTTTTTGCACTGCTCAATTAGTAAGGCCTCAAAAAATAGACCCAGAAAACGTAAGGCCCGTTTGCCGTTATCTTGTTTGTAGTTTGGTTCTGTATTGCTTGTTTGCTGTCTTTTTCTATTCAAATACGAGCATATCCATTCCAACGATGGCCTACGGGTGTTCATGTTAAATGTCAAACTGATTAAATCGACCCGACCCAATTCGAGTGAGTCGGTTTTTTAAAACCATTGGTCGGTTTTGATTTGTATGAGAAAATAAACCAATAATTTGATTTGGTTTCGATTTTCATATATGAAATTAAATCAAACCGAACCAATCCTACATATTTAAGTAATTATTCATTATTTATTATCTTATATGTTAAACGTTGATATGTTTTATTTGTGTTTTGTTTGAAATTTGAAAAAAAAAATGATTATTTATGATAAAAACTAAAAACATAAAACCAATACAAACATAATACAATGATACAATATTTAATTCAGTTTTGTATAAATTTAAATATATATTGACAAAAAAATAAGTTTTGCATAAAAAATTAATCGATTTTAATATATATTTTGGTTTTGCATAAAAACTAAAAAGAAATAAACTTAAATATAAATATATATTTTAATTTAAAATACATATAAAAACCGACTAAACCGATAAACCAACCCTTCATGTTTGGGTCGATTTTGGTTTAGTCAATAAGTGAACCGACTAGGTTGGGTCAGTTGAAGAAAATGACTCAAACCAACCCAACCCAACCTGTGAACACCCCTAGGATGGTTGAATCTAGTTCGGATCAGATAGGCACATTGTAAGCATGGTAAATAAGCATTTAGAAATTTTTTTAACATCTGCCCCTTAAAATATCCTCAGCCTATCCTTGAAAAAGATTAATACCCACTTTTAACAATTATCAAAATATTTATGCCTACTAGATCTTGTTCCAGCCGAATCAAAGGTTAAATGCAAAGAGGTGAGGAATAGAAATCGGATTCAGTGCTCATAAGCTTTTCCAGTTTCATAGTGAAACCCTTTTATTATTTGATTTTTGACATCACTGAAAGGGACAAGCATTTCCATATCCAAGTCATATTTTAAAAACATTGTGTAATATAAAGCCTAAAACCATCCACTTAAATAATACATGAAAATTATAGAAAAATCCATGAATGGAAACATCAAATGGCCTCCTAAAACCAGTCTAAGTCAATTAATACCAAACATACAAACGAGTATACCAAGATTTCATATAATAATCAAGCCTTCCAAGGAATGCACCAAATAATTAATCTTGACCATCCAATTTCAATTGATCAAGACCATTGAGTAATATATAAATCAAATAAAAAATCTTGGCCATTAAGGTAGTTTCCTAAACTAACTAATTAATCTCATCCATCTAAATGATATATCAAGATTTTTATTGCAATATGGTGTATCTTGTTGCATGCATTTGGATGATGTATGAGATTAATTAGATGACCTTAGGGGGTCATTCTGATTGTCAAAATCTTATATTTTATTTGATATATCACTTTACATAACCCTTTTTATTTTCATATTTTTTCATGCATTACTTGAATGGCCAATATTTAATGTTTTCAAACCGTCGTTGATTCGAACGGTCAGACTGTTTGGACTGGAAACTGTTTAGGTGACTGATTCCGTTTTACTCCAAACTTAGCATTTGGTCAAAAACTGTTAAATTAGTCAATGAACCATTAACTTAGACGGTTTGACCGTTAAACCATTTGACCTAGAGAGTGGTTTGCTGTAAAGTTTTAAAACTAGGAAATCTCAAATCCAAGACCGAGAAATCTCATATTTGTCTTTCTCACGCGAGAAAGTGAGAGAGATCTGAGATGTGTGAGATAGATCTGCATGAGACAGTGTGAGAGAGTGAGATTTGAGACTGAGAAATCTCAGATCTGCCACCATCACCACCGCTGTAGTTCACCATCGTCGTCACTGTTGCTGTTGTAAGTTGCTGTCATCGCTGTCACTACAAGCCTGCAACTTGCAAATCCTTCTCCTCCTCCTCCTCCTCCTCTTCTTCTTCTTCTAAACTCTTTCAGTTCAGCTGATAGTTTTCTCAAATCTCTCTCATTCAAAGTTTCAACCCTTATTTTCTCTTATATAATATGCATCTTACCCTAATATTCCAATCTAATGGGTAAGATGTTCAAACCATTCGAACCGTTTGACCCGAACAGTCGAACCGCTGACCCAGAAACCGGTGACCATACCGGTTCTGTTTCCGGATCAGTTTTTAAAGCCTTGCCAATATTAACTGAAATCCAGACACGTAAATGGCCAAGATTGGTATCATTCATCTTTTGGTTGATTTGATAAATCACCTGCATTTCTTAGATTTGGTACATAATTGGACCTGTTGATAATAGGACACCACATTGATAGGCCATATTTAGTTAGTTCCATTTATCACTAGTTAATGACCATACCTTACCAATAGGGGCAACCACACCTATTATTTGGTTTGAGATCCATAATGTGGTAAATTTACGTTGGATTTCTTATTTAATTTAGGAGGTTAAGTCAAGTTTAACTTATAATTAATTAATGACCCACCTTGTCTAAAGAATGAGCAATCTCTTAAGACAGGGGCCACGCTTCGGGTTATGTTTATAAGCATTTGGGTCATTTATCAGAACATCCCTTATAGTTTTATAGGTTTATTTAAACCTACCCTATAATTTACATTTTACTAAAATACTCCTTATAGTTTGCAACCTATTTATTTAATCGACCTTTTATTAAGAATTATTTATGTTTTCCGTATGAAAATAGTAACATGACCATCTAAACTAAGTGGAAAATGTTCAAGGGCATGGACCCTTGGTTGTTTATTCCGAAAGTACCCCTAAACTGAGTGGAAAATGTTCAAGGATATGAATCCATGGTTGTTTATTCCAAAAGTACCCCTAACACTTTTTTATGTAGAAAACAAAATTGACCAAATAGAGAAAAATAGGGTGGTTGTCTATGTTTTATTAGGGGCAAAAGTGGCATTTTTGTTTATAGTTTCTTTTGATTAAATTCATTTGAGTGGGTGATAGTGTTAAAATTGTCATTTTCCACTTTAATCTAATGAAAGGTTGATTAAATTGATTGCAAATTGTAGGGGATGTTTTAGTAAAACACAAACTATAGAGTAGGTTTTAGTAAATTCATGAAATTATATGGGTGTTTTAGTAAATGCCCCTAAATATTTTATACTAGATTAGGCCCATCAAATTTTGACAAAAGCTAAGCCCAAACCCAAACAGTTGGACCATTCGGCCCGGAAACCATCCAAGCAATCAGTTCCTTTCACCCTTAACTCGTTATTTAGCCAAAAACCATTGATTTGGTCAATGACCCACTGACCCGATCCAGACAATGGTTTTGATGTTTTTTTGTTTTAATTATTTTTTAAGTTCTTTTTAATTAAAATGGATTTCCATTTAAACCAGATGGTCGAATTGCAGACTCCAAAACTGGTGGCTAAAGCGGTCCGAGTCAGTTTTTAAAACATTTGGCTTTATGCATGAATCCCTTCTAAATACATTTTCAAAAAAAAAAGCCCTTCTGAATATGTTGTAAGCTTGGTATGATCATGCCAAGTTTTTACTACAGGTGTGGTGGTAATTATTAGTGTAGATGTTGTTTTTAGTGGATCCCCGTCCCCCATATCTCAATGATGACATCATGGGTTCTGGTACATCAGGAGATGTTCTTAATACAGGACAGGGGTGTACTTACGAGATCTGTTTTTAATGAATTTTTGCTTTACAATAAAACCCAATATCCTCAACTGGGTAACAATTGTTCATTTACTTTCCAAACTACTCAACATTTTCTCGAAGATATGGCTAGAACCAGATCTTTCACTCTCTTTCTTTCCCCTTTATTGCTCATTTATTCTAGACCGAATCAGTCCCCCACAAAGTTCCACACCACATCCCCGCCCTGTGATAGGAACATTTCTCGGTGATGACATCATTATTCCTAATATTACCATCGGGAGATGTTTCCAATACATAGTGGGGATGTGGTGTATGGAACATTGTGGTTGGCTGATTTGAACTCCATCTATTCAGGGTGAGAGACCAAATTTGCTCCTCACACCTAGTGCCTCATAGTCACCTCGGTGACGGGATCTGCTCCTCACAAATGGGTGCCTTACATGCACATCCATTGTGCATTGGGAACATCTCCCTTGAATAATAACAAATAAGTATGGGAGATGTTCCCAATGCATGATAGGATGTGTGTGAGGTGCCAGGTGTTAAGGAGCAGATCCGGTCTCCTATTCAAGTGGGTTGAGAGAGATAGGGGTGGCAATTTTCTCTGTCCCTAACAGGTACCCAGGCTCCCCGACCCCATCGGGTCAGGGATGGGAGGTACCTTGGCGGGATCGGGGTCGGGGATGGGGCTACCCATGAATCCCCAATCGGGGATGGGGACAGGGACGGGGAATGCAATCCCCGCCCCGACCCGTCCCCGATTAATATTATAATAATATTATATTAGTATATATAATATAATATTATATATTATATAAGTATAATAATTATTAATTTATTTATAAAWYARTAAAAACTAAAAGTCTAAAACATAATTCGAAGAAATCAAGAAAACTTGAAAAGTTGGAAAACCCTTAACCCTCGACTAAACCAGTTACTAGTCTTCATTCTTTTGTCTTCGACAGAGAAGACTCAAGAGAGGCGACTGAACTAGTAAACCCTAGCTTCGGCTTCATCGCCGATTCGCCAACTGCCATCGCTGACTGTTGCCACTGCCCACTTGCCCATCGAACATTGAACAGAGGAGAGGCCAAAGAATTGAGGAAGAGACTTCGTCTTCGTCGCCGATTTGCAGACCACCGACTGTCGTCGCCGTCGCTGCCACCCCTCAGACTCTCTATCATCAATCATCATCAACATAAACTCTCCCAA